CCCACACTGGGGTTGAGGTGGCCCCATGTTCAATAAAGGGTCTAGAAGGAGAGAGCATGTGGTGCCTTGTGCAGTCCTTTGTCCTCAACCCCAAACCCCCTCCCTCCTGCCCCTGCTGTTCCTTGGCTCTGCTGCTGTTTGCTGAAGGGTGCAAAGGTTCCTGTGGCTGCCGAGGTCCTGTCTGGCCACAGTCCCGTGATGGGACATGGCCCAAAGAGCAGCACTGCAAGGGGCACGAGCCCCGCCGTGTGCCACTTCGTCGCCTGTGCCCTCCTGCCCACAGGTTTTATCATGAGGATGTTTCAGTTTAATGACATCATGGGAAAATGCCATCTTGCCCCCATAAACTGATGAGTGGGAGGCTGGGGCTTACTTGGGTCCCCCAGACTGTCAGGGCAAACTCCCATGTCAGGTGGCCATGTAGTAGGGCAGGTGGCCATGGAATAAATCCCGTAAGCAGCTGTGATCCAGACTGGTGGCTGTTAACTGGGAGTGACCAGGGACGGGAGGAGACCATTCAAGACCAGGAGCCAGAGCCGGGCTGCTGCCCCCTCCCATCCGCACCTTTATTCCCCTGCACTGCCCAGGTGTTTGCAGAAGACGCTTCCATCTCCAGCAGCTCTGGGGCCCAAGCCACTGCTGGCCATTCCCCACCCATACAAAGGGAACTTTCCCACACAGGCCAGCCCCGGATGCAGGGAATGAACAGGGGGAAAGAGAGCATCCCCCTCCCCAGGGCTCACCACTCTGGTGATCCCACTCTAGATGGGCTTCCTGGCATATTCGCGGCGGTACTTGGAATCCACCCGGGTCAGGTACCAGGTTCCGGGGAAGAGATCCGCCTGGGAGCCATGGGGAGCGTGGTCGGCTGTGGGGAGAGGGCAGTGATGTTCAGGGGTGCTGTGGGGTCCCAACAGGGCAGGCTCACATCCTCCCAGCCCCACTCACCCAAGTGATGGGTTTCCTCCCGTCGCTTCATGATCTCGGCGAAGTCCTGTGGGGCCACGCGCTTGCGGGAGTCCAGGCGAGCGGGCAGGTCAGCCAGGCTGGAGACCAGCTTGTCCAGGGGTGAGCCTGGCAAGGGGCACCCCACGTGTGAGATGGCAGTGCTGACAGCCCCACGCCGCCCTCCCTTCCCAGTCCCTCTCTGCCCTGGGGCCCACCTGGGGCTGCATCCTGCGAGACACGGAAGGAGAACATGCTGGCCGCCAGTCCTGAGCCGTAGGAGAAGGCACCGATCCGGGAGCCGGCCAGGTCCCGTGCTGAGCACCTGAAGCAAGAGGTGAGGGGGTTACAGGACATTTGGGATGGGGGGGAGATGGGGATACAGGGCTGTGGGGGCGTTGTAGGGGGCTGCCTCTGTTGTAGGCAGGCAGATCCTTGGGGCCACATTTCTGAGGGAGCGTAGCCCTGGAGTGCGGTGGTGCCAGGGAGCCCCAGGACAAGGCTTTTGTTCCCCTCAGAGCCTGTCTGTTCCCATGACTCCTTTCCCAGGGGGTCACTCATTCTACTGGGCATGACAACAAGGGTTTTCATCCTCCTGGTGATGACAGAAGGGCTTTATGCACTGGCCCAGCTCCAACAAGCTGGGATGAAAAGTCTGGCAGGGAGATGGCCTGGAGCAAGAGGCATCCACACTGGGGGTTGTGTGCAATGAAAGGATCAGGTCCTGTTGAGGCAGGGGGAGATGAGGGCTGGGAGATGAGTTCTGCCCCTCTATCCATCTGGGGAGTGCTCTCCCCAAAATGACCTCCTCCCTCTCCCCAAGCCAGCGTTTGGGGGGACTCACTGGGACAGGAGGGAGGCCAGGCAGCCATACATGGATGGTGTGTACATGTTGCCGTTGCGGGAAGAGAGGAGGAGGGAGGGCTTGGTCTTCTGGTTGAAGATGTCCTGGCTGGCAGCCTGGAACGCCTTCTCCACCTCCTTGCTGGTGTAGGTGTCCTCCAGCTTCACACCGCTGCCCAGAGAGAGACCAGCTGAAACCCCAGACCAGCATATTCCTGGCTGGGCTGAGGGATGGGGACACAGCACAGGGACCCACCGGAAGGACTGCAGCCCCTTGTAGAGGCCGGAGGCTGTGTCGGGGTTGGGGGAGGCCAAGAAGTCGTTCAGCAGCAGCCGCCCCACCGACTTCTGCACCAGCTTGCAGAAGGGCGAGTGGAAGATGATGTACTTGAAGTCATCGAGGGTGAAGGGCCTCTGGATGCCAGCTGGGAGGCAACACAGGGCCATCAGTACCCAGGGGGCTGCACTGGGCACCTCAGGGGTGCTGTCACTCACCCTGCTGCCACTGGCTCTGCGCCTTCCGTCGGTACACGGCGTAGCAGCGGTCCAGCGCCCGCAGGTAGCACTGGATGGAGAGCTGCCCGTCCACCACCGGGTACTCAGAGGACAGATTTGGCTTGTAGAAGTCGTAGGCGTGCTCCATGTGGGTTCCACGCAGGCCTGGGGGCACGGGGAGAGCCAGCTGTCAGAGAGCACCGGGAGGTCCCAGCCCGGTGGCAAACACCCAGGGGTGCTGCCTGCCATTGCACCCCTGAAATCCAGCAGCCTCCCTGAGTCACTCCATAGTGCCCACAGGGATGTGGCTAGCCAGCATCCTGGAGTACCCAGCAGGGTCTGGCTGAGCAGCTCTGCCCAGGGCTGGGACATGGATGCATAGCCCCCAGGGACAGCACCCATCAACTTGCCACCCCCAGGGCCTCGTGGCACCGACCTCTCTCCAGCACCAGCGGGGCGTTGGGTCCCACCAGCATGGCAATGGCACCGGCACCTCCCGTGGGCCGCGCGTTCCCCGTGGCGTAGACAGCGATGTCCCCACACACCACCACGGCGTAGCGACCTGAGCGAGGACAGAGGGACTGGCAGGGCCATCAGTGGGTGGAAGCTTCCATCCACTGATGTGGATGTTCCCATCTCCATGCTGCCAGGTGTCACACCAAGATGGGCAAGAAACAGGGATGATGGAGAGCCTGGAGGTGCAGTGGCTCCCTTTGCAGTTGGAGCATCTTTGGGTTTCAGGCCACCTCCTGCCTCCTTCCCCTGTCTCATGGCACCCACCCAGCGTCCAGCCCCACGGCATGGTCCCTGCCTGTACTCACCATCCCAGGCACTGGACTCCACCCAGGCGGCTGCATTGAAGAGTGAGGCCGTGCCCCCATAGCAGGCGTTGGTGGTGTCAATACCCTCCACATCAGTGTTGCCAGAGTCATGGAAAAGTTGCATGAGGACGGTCTTGACGGCCTTGGATTTGTCGATGACGGTCTCAGTGCCCACCTCCAGGCGGCCGATGGCGTCCCAGGAGAGGCGCCCGCGCTCCACCAGCCGCTGCACCACGGTCAGGCACAGGGAGTTGATGTCCTCGTGGGCGGCACAGAAGCCCATCTGCTTCTGGCCCAGGCCCCGCGTGTATTTGCCAGCCTCCACGCCATCAAACCGCTCCAGCTCCTCCTGATCCACGTACTGGGCAGGGAAGTACACCTCCAGGGCCAGGATGCCCACGTCCTTGGGCCAGGCACCTGTCCCAGCAGCACTGGAGAGGCTATGGGACAGAGCAAGTGGCAACAATCCTATGGCAGCCTTGGGCACAGAGGGTGGCCCTGCAGAGACGCCACCAGCGAGCAGCCAGGCTGGGAGCACGCCAGATCCCTGGTAGCTCCTTGTGCCTGCAGTGCTGCAGGGAAGAGGGAGAGGCTCCCCTTCCCCAGCAAGGTTTAAGAGCTCAGCCAGCTCCCCAGCCCTACCCTGGTTATGTCTCCAGCCCCCCGATCCATGTGGGTGCTCACCATGCCCTCTGCCAAGCCGCGGGGTGCTGGGTGCCCCGGGGTGCCTGCTCCGGCCCCGGCGGTGCCCACCTCGCCCCCCAGCAGCGCGCAGCGCGCCCCACCAAGCGCAGCATCTTCGCCCCGGCCGCTGTGCGGACGGAGGGACGGCCGGCCGGACAGGTGGACAGCGGAATGTGCCTTGCGTAGTGCTTTTATAAACTGCGTGGGCAGCTCGGCACAGCCCTCCCGGCCTTTATCAGCCTGCCGGACCCTGGTGCTCAAAGGTCACCGAGCGCCAGCCAACACAGCAGGGGCAACGCAGCTTCGGAGGGGGGAGCTTGCGAGGTGTCCTCGTCTTGCGTGCCCCAAAACCCGGGGACACGGAGCCGGAGCGGGGGCTGAGCAGCGGGACGGGCTGTCCCGCAGCGCCGGCTGCCCGGGGGCAGTGGCAGCTCCGGTGCCAGGCTCGCCGGCACGGCTGTGGTCGCTGCGGGGGCAGCCCCCGCGGGCCCGGGCAGGGAGCAGAGGGCGGCCGGGCTTTGGTGCCGGCACCATCCGCGCTGCCCGGGCCGCAGTCCACGCCTGACACGTGCCGCAGCTCTGGTGGGGGTAAAAACCCCATGAGCGGGGTGGGGGTAGAGCCATCTTCAAAGCAGCAGAGCAAACAGCCACGTGATGCCTGTGGCAAGATAACAGTGGCACAAAAGGGACCTTTGGTCCCGGTGCTGCTGTCAACATGGCCATGGGGCCGAGTTGCAGGCCCAGGACCCCTGTGGAGCTGTCTGCACCTGGGGGACCACCTGCCCCCATGTCTGCACACCCACGACAGCTCCCGTCCCCATCCACATCTGTGTCCCAGGTCTCCGTGTCTGTGCTCTGGTGACACTCCTGTCCCCCGACCTGTTCCCCGGGGGCGCCTGTGGTGTTTGGCACCGAGGGCTGGTATGAGCAAGCCCGAGTGCTCAGCCAGGAGAGCGCCGGTCCCCGCAGTTCCTGGGGACTCATCCCCGAACAGCTCTGCCCCACCGGCAGCGCAGAAGCCTCTGGAAGCCGGGAAGCTCGGGGAGCCGAGGCAGAGCCCGTCTCTCTCTCTCTCACGGACCAGCACCAAGCTCACACAGCACTTGCATGCTTTTTTTTTTTTTTATAAGATAAATGTATTTATAGGAGTTGCGGGGAGAGACACGGAGGTGGCACGGGAGGAACGTCGCCGGCGCGGGGCCAGGGCTGCGCTCAGTTCAGGGGGTAGAACTTGCAGATGTAGTGATGCTTCCGGGAGCAGTCGGCACTGGACCACACAGAGAAGCCTGCGGGAGTGACAGGGAGGGGGCTGGCGGGGGCCACGGCGAGGACGGGCCCCAGCTGTGCCCACCGCAGCCCTGCAGGGGGAGGGGACCTGCAGGGGGACCGAGGCGGGGCAGTGCCGGCCGAGCCCAGGCGCTGGAGGTGGGTGCGGGGCCGGGCACTCACCGCTGTGATGGGTCAGCGCGGCGCAGCTCTCCCCGCCGGCACCGTTCCCAGGCATATCCCTGGTGGCACTGTAGTCCTTCCCATTCGTCCACTTCCAGGCCTGGCTCTGTACAGGGCGAGGGGATTTCAGAGGCATGGCTCTGCTGTCCTCTAGCCCCCCATCACCCCTGCCGCCCACACCTCACCTCTTTATTCTTTTGGAGTCCAATCCAGACGGGCTGCACACGCTGGTGGTAGGAGATGGTTCTCCGCAGGGTGACTTCCTCGAGGGGGTCCTCCACCCAGGCCAGGTGGGCGCCTTTCTTGACGTCCTGGCACTGACTCTGCAGGGAGAGGTGTCAGTGCCAGGGCGCCTCAGGGAGACTGGGGGTCCCTGTTCCCCTGTGTACCCCACTGGGCTTACCTCAGCCTCGTCCCAGGTCCGGGGCTCAGAGAAGTATTTGAAGCAGCTGAGCTTGTAGTAGGACCAGCCGTCGGGACAGTAGCTTATGTACCTGCCGTCTGTTTGGGGAGAGCGGGATGAGGACGGGGATGAGGACAGCCGGCATCACTGCCTGGAGAGGAGCGGGGCTCCCTCCTGGCCCAGCTGCAAAAGCAGCGGCCCCCCGAGCCGTGGCACTCACCGACTGGCCGCAGCAGCCCCACGCAGCCCAGCAGCAGGAGGGCGAGTCTGGCCGCAGCCGCCATCCTCCTTGCTCCCTGTAAAGGCTCGGGAGGGTCACACAAGGTCCCTCGGGGACAGAGGAGGTCCCTACTACCTGTGCCCAGAGAGTGCAAACCTGCCCCGCTGTGGGCCGAGCCTGGCCCCTTTGAGCCGCCTGGAGGAGATAGGCTGTGGCTCCCTCTCTGCCCCCGGCACAGGTCACTGTCCCATCCATGCCTGCACCCCGTGCCCCAGGCACGGCTTGGAGTACCCAGCCCACACTGGCAGCAGATTGTCCTGGCCCCACCAGCCCCAGGCTCGGCAGGAGGCATCCGGGAGAGCCAAGCTGCTGTCTGGGGACAAGGGGAGGGCGCTGTCGCGGACACGGGTCGGGGCACCCCAACCAGGCAATGGCACAGCTGGGGCTGCAGGCACTGCGTGCACGGCGGCGTTCTCACACCCCGAGCTCGCAGCACTGCCCAGGCTGGGAAGGCAAATTGGCCCCATCAGCGCAGTTCCCCTTTATCTGGGCTAATCCCTGGGCACCGGGGCCGATTTGCAGATTCAGCTCGTCTTCCCCTCAAAGAAGCAGCGACAAAAGTCAACGCAGGGCTGAAAAATGCAGCATCACAGCCTGCCCCATCCAGCGAGGGCAGAGCTCGGCTCCCGCGGGAACAGCCAGGGAGAGGGACCAGCTCCTGTTTGCCCGTGAGCCAGCTCTGAGCATCCCGAGGCCCCAGCTGCCTTGTGAGGGTCCTCTTCCTCACCTGTTGTCCGGAGATGATGAGGAATAGCGGCTTGTCGCGGGTCACCGGGACAGGAGAGGAGAGGAGCTGCCCTTTATAGCCTGGTGCTCACCAGTATCTGTTTGCCCTACTCAGGTGATTCTCACCATAAAAATCTTACGCTGACCCCCCTCCATCCCCCCCCCACTTCGTTGGAAAATTGCCCAGATCTCCAGTCTGTTTGCATTTAACATATCTTCAGAAACAGACAGGAAGAACCCGTCCTAGTTGGTCAATAAACCCCTGCAATCATGATTAATTGCTCCCGCGATACAGATACAATCTTCCAGCCCAGAGCAGCCTGGCACCTGGCAGGGATGCCCGCTGGGCCAGGCGGGGGCTGGCGGGCGTGAGCCTCGGGGGTGATCCCCGATCCCGGCCAGGACATCCCTGCCACCAGCGGCCGGGCCGTGGGTCCGACCCCCTGGCACTGTCCCTGTCCCCAACCAAGGGATGGCACCCGGCCGGGCCCCGCGCCCTGCCCCCCTCTGCCATGCGTCACCCACACACCGCCCTTGTTTGAACTGCCGGGGGATGTTTGCGAGCAGGATGGGAGGCCGGGATGTGGGAACAGCCTGCAGCCGGGGGCTGGCGATGCCATCAGGTAGCGGGGAGGATGCCCAGCCCTCGGGCCCGGCCGTGACGCAAGACTTCGTCACTCTGTGTCCCTCCGGGAGGAAGGGGCAGCTCCCGCAGCAGCAGCCCCTCACTGCCCCTTTCCCAGGCGGCTCCCTGCAGCCCCAGCCCGAGGAGGTTGCTGCCGGCATGGAGCCACAGCGATGAGCTCCCGGCCCCAGCAGCTGGAACCCTTCGGCAAGGTCTGGCACAGCCTTCTCTGCCATGGTCCTTGCTCCTCGCCCCAGGGTGTCCTCCGCACCTGTGGGAGGCAGCTGGAGTTCTCCCCGTTCCTGCTGCCACACGCTGCTCTGCGGCGTCGCTTCGCTGCCTCCTGAGGGACCAGAGCGGCTTTGAAAGATCATCCTGCTGCCGCCAGCTCCGGCCAACGCCGGGCTCTCCCTCCCCAAAAGCCTTGGTGGAGGCTGGTGGGAAGGAGGGGAGCTGCCCTTGAGGGCCTGGTGCTGTGTGACCTGCAGAGGATTCAGACCCAGGGCTGAGCCCTGCTTCCCCCCACACGTGTAGCTTTGTGTCAGGCTCAAGCCACGCACAACCCAGGGACTGCCATGGGCTCTCCTCCGCGGCAGCATTTGCTGAAACACGCAGCCGTGAACGCTGCTACACCCACAGGGAGCAGCTCCCTGCGGCGTGCAGAGGCAGGTCTGCCTTCTGCCCCGGGACGAGAGGTGGATCAGACCCCTCTCCTTCACCCACACAGCAGGATAGAACTGCTGCTGCTTGCTAGGCATCCTCGGGGGTGAAACCTTCTCGTGTCCAAACACAGCTGCTGCCTGCTATCGCTTCTGAAAGAAACAACCCGCCACACATCAGCTGCCCTGATCAATGGCAAAACCCTGCAAACACAGCAACTCCCCAGAAAACAGGACTCCACCCTTGATTTATGGAAAAACAGTGAAAAAGCTCCCCCATAGAGCCTGAGGCTCCTCCACTACTCCTCAGATAAGGGATGTGGCTGCTCCCTGCCTGAATGGTTCAGTTTGGATGCAACACAAGTTTCCACAAGCCCCTGGCCATCCTGGGCTGGGGAGGAGGCATGAGCAGCCCCAGGAGACAGCTTCAAGTCTCAGCCTGAGCACCAGGGAGCTCGATGCTGCTATGCCAGGGGCTCGGCAGAGCTCGCTAAACTTTGGCACAGATGTGCAAGCTGTGGGAGAACGTGGACTAATGCCTCCCGGAGATTTGGACTCACCCAGCTGGCTCTACCAGGAGATAAAGGAGCTGCACTGTTTGAATATTAAACCCTTAAAATGCCTCCAGCAACTTTACACCAGCTCAGCATCGTAACTCAGCTACTGGCTCCATGAGAGTCACAGCAAGAGCTGGAGAACAGCCAGGTGAGCACCAGTGGAGCCCAAAGCTTCAGAGGCACCTCTGTGCTCCAAACAGAGCTCAGCAGCTATTGACAGTGTATTTTCTAATTGCTCAAGTCAAACTCTTCAAGCCTGAGACCAGCACAGAGGAGTGGTGATTCCCTGTTTCAGAGGCTGGAGAATCACACGTCTTCATGCTCTTAGTCTGGAAAAACGGAGGCTCAGGGGGGACTTTATCACTCTCTACAATCTGAAAGGAGGCAGTAGACAGGTGGGGGTTGGTCTCTTCTCCCAGGTAAGAAGGAACAGGATGAAAGGAAATGGTTTCAAGTTGCACCAGGGGAGGTTTAGATAGGATGCGAGGGCAAATTTTGTCAATGACAGGGCAGTCAGGCATTGGATCAGGCTGCCCAGAAAGAGGTGGAATCACCATCCCTGGAATGTTCCAAAAACATCTGTATGTGGCATTTGGGGACATGGTTAAGGGGTGAACACAGCAGTGCCAGGTTAAAGGTTGGACTCGATGATTTTAGGGGGCTGTTCCAACCTTAAGGATTCCATGCATCCACCCCTGAGACAAAGCCAGGGAGGCAGCCCCAGCTCCAGGGATGAGGGTCCTCTTCCCTACTGGAAGGACAGGGAAGCAAGCAGGACCCGAGAGAGTGAGTGAATCCACAGCCCCACTGCCCAGCCCACACTCGCTCACCACCTTCCTAAAAACCTTCCCTGGCTCCCACAGGCAGCGAGCTCTCACCCAAAGTGCCCAGGAAAGGACCCATTCCAGTCCCTCCCCATCCTTCCCAGCGTGCCCAGCTGCTTGGCTGCCACTTTACTGCCCCCTTCTCAGCTAACCAAGAGACCCAAAATCCACCTGCTACACCCACACCAGGCTGCTTCCAGCTCCCTTGGGAGGAGCTAAGTGGTGGGGTTCATGTGGTGCTGAGTCAGAGCACCCCTGATTCATTTATAAGCCGGTGGCTGTGTCACAGTAGCCAGGAAAACAAAATGAAAACAGCGGCACACAGACACTGGGCACATACTTTTTATTCTGGGGATAAAAATTGCTTATACATTTGGCAGCAACTATTTTCATAAAAGACTTTTATAAAAAATGTAAAAATAAGCAAATATTTTCCATTATTAATATAGGAAAATGCTGCTGTGTGAATGGTTACTCTACAACTTAAAGAGATAAAATACCACCTTAAGGAGATATTATCTTTACAAGTAGTTAAAAAAAAAAATAGAGAAGAAAGGCAGAGGGCCATCATATTAACAGCCAGGCACGGAACCGGCTTCATTCCACAGAAAGCACTCATCTTGTAAAAGGTAGCCACATATATAAAAAGGCACTTGGTTATTTGGAGCTAACGAGCAAAAAGCCCTTTGTTTCTTTAGCATCGATGTAGCAACACTTCATTATTCGCAGTGAAAGGTGTACCTGGACAGACCCCCTGGAGGTCTGAGTCAGCTGCACTCCGGCGGCCACGCTGCAGCAAGCGTGCCGGGGAACACTGTGTGCGCCGTGAAAAGCAGAACTTCACACACAACTAAAAACTTCAGCCCAAAGCGACGGCCCCGGGAACCAGCTCCTCCTGAGGCCTTGCCTTCATGTACCATTGAGTGGAATTGGAAAACAAAACAAAACAAAAAAAAAAAGAAAAGCAACTTTGACTCTTGATTAGAATGGAAAGGAACACCAGAGACAATACTGTACACGGTAGGGCATTGGATGGCCTGCTCGCAGGGGAGCGGCCTTCAGTCCTTTGGCAGCAGCCGGCACCCCGAGCTCTTTGGAAGACGTGTCTGCAGCACTCCCCTGAAGAGGTAGGAGCAAACCATCCCCACAATGTTCACTTCAGCTGCTGGCCGGTCTGGAGCCCTTTCCTCTTGCAGACGAAGCAGAAAGAGCTGTTTGCCTAAGGTCGGTGACAGCTGGCTTCCACAGCTCCAAAACTACGGGGGCAGCTGCAGCACGAGCGGCCCTACTGTCCCACAGAGCACACGGGCCACCTCGCCTGGGAGATCTCCGCTCAGGCTGAAGCCGAGGGCAGAGGACAGCCCCAGAGCTGTGCACCAAGCTGCAGGAGGCAATGGTTTCTGAGCTATTTGGTCTGCTGCCACAGCCCAGCTCCTGGCACGCCGCTCGTGCTGCTGGAGGCCTGCTGGGCAGTCAGTGCTGCGGCCTCCGCGCGCCGCGAGGGGAAGACGAGGCAGCTGTGACCCAGGGCTGCAGCAAAAGGGACACTTTTCAAAGGGCTGGATGTCGTTCCTGACGCAGAAGGACACACACCGCAAACATGTCAACCACAT